TTAGTTGGATGTGGCCAGTTTACCACTTGCTCCCTATTGCCTTTTTTCTCTGGATCGTGACTCTTGCCCGCAGTGGTATCAGGAAAAGACTGGGTTTGATACACTAGGTCATGTTGTAATCCCCGCAACTCTAAACTGATGATGGTCAGCTAGCCACCGTAGTCACACTGCACCACAGCGTAGAAAGCCCTGTAGTGCAGATGAATACAGCTCTGAGGGCTGACAGGCCGGGCCCTCCCCAGTGCTAACTACTGATGCTGCTGTTCTTTGTCCTTATGCTTCTGTTGCCCTCGGGTGGCCGCAGCCCACAGCATCTCCGGCCTCTTCAGCAGACATGGCCCCCATCAGCTCGGGATCTTCTACCTGGACGTCCTCTGGCATCCCTTTCTCCTTTGTCTCCATGGCGACAGGGATGGGTCCCTCCTCCAGTGGCAGCCAGGCTACAGTGGCCTCCGTGGTCACCAGCACGCTCCTGGCGGGCCTCGGTTTTGGGGGCGGTGGCATCTCGTCCTTCCCCAGCACTGTGTGGCCCACCCGCCTCCCTCCGGCCTCCTCGGCCAGCAAGCAGGCAGGGAAGCCAGTTGTGGCCACCACAGAGGCCTTGGCGACTCCGGGGCCTGACGGCGATGCAACTCCGAGCAAGGACAGTGAAGGTGCCGAGGAAGGAGAGAAAGATGATGAGAAGAGTGAGAATGAGGATGGCGAGCGAGAGCATGAGGAGGAGGGTGAGAAGGATGCCGAGAAGAAGGATAGGAGTGGGGTGACACCTGTGGCCGGGGAGGAGGGTGACCAAAATGTGCCAACGCCGGTCCCCTCAGAGCCCAACAGGACCGCGGAGGAGGGCGGCTACCAGACTAGATCTGGGCTCAAGCAGGACCTCACCACCACCCCCACAGGCCAGCCTGGCCCAGACTCCAATGTGGTTTCCTCCACCCAAGTGCCCCCCATGGCCACAGAGGAGCAGGACGCAGGGGGTGACCCCCACAGGCCGGGAGTGCCATCGAAGAAGCCCGTGTCCCGGGACCGACTTTCCGAGGACAGCAGATTCATCACTGTTAATCCAGGTAAGTGCGGCTCACCTCCTGCAGGTTCCCTGTGAGTGCGCATGGGGCGCGCCCTGGCTATTGCCCAAACACTCTGGGAGGAACATTGCAAGTTGCAGCTGCACCACCGCAGCTTGCAGTGAGTGTGTCCCAGGAGAAGGAAAGGCAGAGCAAGTGCCTTGTGGCCTGGAGCTCAAGCCCCGGGTTCAGTCTCCAGTTGTGCAGAAAACAAAGGAGGACGAGTTTGAGGAGGGGTTGAAGGTTCAGAAAACAGCATTGGTGGAGCTGAACAAAGACAACAACATGTGAGGCTCGCACTTACAGCGCTCAGGCCCAGGTCCGTGGTGAAGCGCACTCATTGCCGCACTGGGTGCTGGGCTGGAGGGCTGCGGGGCAACCAGTACCCAGCTGTAGCTCGAGCAGGGAGGTAGGTGGCGGGAGCCCCCAGAAACCCCGAACAGCCTAACTCATTCTCCATGGTGAAACTGCTATGGAACAAATGGACAGGAACCTGGGGGAAAGGACTGTGAGGATAGGGACCCCTGCTCCGGAAGGGCCCTCCGGGGAATCGGCATTTGGGCTGCCATCTGGAGAATGGGAGGTTTGAGTCTGGGGAGAGCTGGCATTTGTGCCCGGTCCGAGCCCAAGAAGTGCAGCCCTGTGTCCCAGAGCTGCTTCCTGCTGTGTGCCTCGCCACACCTGGGGAGTTGTGCCCGGCCACACGTGGCGGGTGCGTGCTGGGCCCCCACCTTCCATGGCGGCAGCCCTTGCCCTGCTCTCTCCATGCTCAGAGCTTAATGAAGCACCCTCAGAATCTCCACAGGGGCAGAGCATGAAGGCCTGTGATGTTGGGAAGGGTTTTCTTATTAAAATTCTTCATTTTGCCAGGCTACACGATGTTTAGCAAAAAAAAAAAAAAAATATTTTTTTCATCTGAGCTGTTGTGGAGTTAAGAGAGTGCAAAAAAAAGACAACTGGTAAATATTTATTTGCTTTTGCACTTGTAAACATTAAAATTCATCTAAAGCTGAGACCTTGTATGTTAAGACACAACTTAGAATAAATTTTCATGTTTTGAATTGCTCTCCCCTTCAAGCGGGTAGGAACTGTTCTTTAAAGTAGAGCCGTGTTATGGGTACTGCTCGGCCCACTGCTGTGTTGGGCAGAGGTGCAGAGGCGCCTTCTCTGGAGCTGTGTGAAGGGAACGTGAGGACCGTGGTGCCACTGCCGCTCCGTGCACATGGGGCTCGTCTAGGGCGAGCTGTGAGAACAGTGACTTTCTTGCATTCCAGGCTGATAAAGAAGTGCCATGCGGTCAGCACCGGCTGTATCCCCGGCACTGGGCTCGACAGTGGGACTAGAACCCAGATTGAGATTTCCACTTCCCGGTGGCTGGTGCTCAGGGAGGCACTTGGAGAAGGTCCCAGGAACCGTGGTGCCAAAAGCCTCGTCAGGTGGCGGATTTGGGGTGGGGTGCGTGCAGCACTGAGCCTTCCCCAGTGCCAGTGCACAGAGGCCCAGGAATGAGGAGCTAGCTGCGGAGAGACACACCGAGGTGCACTTGGGGCGCAGGAGCAGCAGTGCTACATGAGCAAGGCCTCTACCGAAAGCCAGAGAGCTTTGCTGCAAATGCGAGTTGAGATGTGCCAGTGGTAGCGGGTGGTGCGGGGTGAGGCCAGCCAAGTGTTTCAGCGAAGTGTGGGCAGTCGACGTTCCCCCCTTTGCAGGCACAGGTGTGGCCTACCCACCCTGGCTCTGGCCCCAACACAAAAGCAAACCTAGGTAAGACTGAAAGGGGTCAGTGCTTAGCCACCAGCAAACTGCTTAGGGAGGCAGAGGGTCCAGCCGGCACTGCCCACCAGCTGTGCTAGCCAGACTTCCTGCCTAAGTGGGTGGCTGTGTGTGCCTCTGGATTATTGATGGAGGGGAGGCATTTGAGGGCCAAGTCACCAAGCCCACGTCAGTCCTGATGCCCGCCCAGGCTCTCGCTCCACTCTGTCCAACTGGTCACGCCCCGTAGGCCTCGTCCAGCCTGGTCCTCGCTATTTAAGTGAAATCCTCCTCCCTTGATGGCAGTGGTGGTCTACTTTTCAAGGCTGGATATACACTTCCTTGAGTCGGTGTCCCA